TTACCAACTAGCAGGCCTCAGCACTGTCTGTATCACATTTTCATTAGACCTGCAGAGTTTGATGGGGAAATTAAAAACTGAAAGGACAGAGTCAGATGACTGACCCTGGATAACATCTAAGCAATTCAATCATGTCTTTCCCATCGCAGGCTTAGACAGCAGGATATCGTAACTCGTATCGATCTGTTTGCTGCTCTAGCTGGTAATGGTCTGGCGCTGAATGAAAAATTTTATTATTATTACATGACTCAGACTCTCTGAGCAGGCAGTTTATGATATGAAAGTCTTCATTAGAGAATTAGATTAATAAATCCTATTTCTCTTGAGACACGTTGTGTATTTGATTGTCAACACCCTGATTGAGGCTCACCAGAATACAGGGAGATTCACACTGAAACAGGTCTGAAGGCATTACCAGAACACACATACTTGGCAGCTTGAAAATAACCTTTATATTTCTTTATACTTTTCTCTGAACTCATTCTTATGTGTTGTAATAAAAAATACTGTGCTTCAAATACCGGGCTGAACATAAACATTTCTTAGCCTTGCACACAGATCATTTCCAGTGTTAGATGTTCACAGGAGGGCTATACAGATAAAAATCTTACAGCAATAATGCTCTTTGGCTCATACTGCTATTCCTATTTAACTGATGTGATAACTGAGGCAGAAACATATTGAACCTTTTGTCCAAGGTCACACAGAGAGGTCAGGAATGGAGCTAAAGCAGACTCCCACTCTTCCAGTTCACTGCTTTGCTTTAAACCATCCAATCTCTCTTTCAGCTCTTTGTCACTGATGCAAAATTACAAAAGACTATTAATACACTGTTAAAGTTAAAACTGCAAATCCCCTACACAAAAAGAATGCAGGTTAGGATCAAAACCAAGTACATGAAAACCCCCCAGCAGACCCAGCCCACCAGATGCAGAAATACTGCACCACATCATCCCATCATGTTAAAAATATTTCACAGCATAAGGTACTTGAGTAACTTTTAGTGTACTGCCACTCCTAACAAAAAGGAGTTAAGATTACTATAAATTACACAACCAGCCAGGAGCATGTAGCTTACACAAATTCTTTCAATCATGTGTTATAACCAACCTTTTCATTTGTGCATGAAGGAAGTTCAAAAGAAAGGCAAGAACAAAAAAAAAAGCAATAGATCCAATTTCTACAGTATTTTTCAAGTGTTTTATGAATAGAAAGTAATCACCTCGACAATTCCGTGACAAAACATTACAAGCAGCTAATTCAACACAAGATGATGTGAAATGAAAGCTGTATCTTCAGATCTAAGCATTAGCAAAAGGCTTTTAAGTGCTTCACAGGCCAAAAAAAACCACACAAACACCAATCAGATGAAACATTCACGCCACTGAATTCAAGCAGTAACAGAATCTCCTTGACTGTTTATCCCTGCTATGAAGCTGAGGTTTTCAGTGCTAACCTTTGCTTCCTGTTACACGTGAGACAACAGACACCTAAAGGCCCTTCACTATTTGCAGCAGTCCCGTCCACATTTTCTTCCCTGTCCTCAACTCAGTGTGGAATAATTTTCAGTGTTTTTTGGTAAGGCACGCTGTGCTGCATTTACCCCCACGTTGCTCTACCATTTCTCAAGAACAAACATAACTTCTTTTCTATTTAACTTTGGTTGCAGTTAGCAACTCTTATTTCCAAGCGAGTGTGCACTGAAGTTCAAGTTAATTGACTTATCAAATCCTTCTCCCAGCTTTCTAGATCAGCTACCTTTTTACCACAGATGTATTTTTTTTTTACTCTCAACTTCAGAACCACGCCAGTGAAGAGAGTGAGATAGCAGCACCCACCATGCAATATACAGTTTGATAATCTACTTAACAAGATTTGATAAGGTGGCATGATTTTGAAAAAGGGCTTAATCAATTCAGAAACCATAGAAAATCTGGGGAACTCAGTCATTTCAGAAATCCCATTCCTACTCAGAATTCAAATATCGAAATAGACGTGCTCCACTGCTCGTAGGATCTTGATATCTCACACCTCCTCACTTGTGGGTCTTAGGAGAGATTGGGGCTTCCTTGAGAAGTTTAAGACTGGTGTGAAATTCTGAAATTTTTTTTTTTTTTTTTTGAACAGCACATGATAATTTTGTAAAGAACAGTATTTTCAAGATAGGCATCAGGACAGCCTGTTAGCTTTTTATAGGGTTGCTGCAACAATACGTAAAGAATGAATACTTATTTATGATAGCAGATGTGGAGAGAGTCTTCCATTTCTATGCCCTACACACCAACTACGGAAGCCTTCCAGGAAAGAGAGATCAAGGTGCAAAGGGATGTCGAGAGCAAGCTACATGGTCGGTCTGAGGTCTGGCTGCAAAAATGGCTAAACTACAGGCCTGCAAGCAGAAGACAGGACAACCACCACAGCTGATCTGAGAGTACAGAGAGGCCTCAGCTGAGGCCACCATGACCAGAAAAAATCTGGCTGTGCTGCAGAAGGCTAAGCTATGTATTATTAAAGATTCTGATAGTTCACCAAGAGTGCCAACAGCCCAGACAGCCATTCAATAGCAAAGTACCAGTGTAAGATGAGAATGCAGGAAGCAGCAACATCTGCAGAAAAGCATTTCTCATTGTTCATTCACTATCCAACAGGGACACACACACCAAGACAGTGCGAACTGTGACACCGATCCCTTCAATCAAGTCAGGGACAGTAATTTTGAGAGTAAGAATAGATAGCACAGCTCATTACAGACAAATATCTTCACCCAACTTTCCAGATTTCATAGGTTATTCTTATTCTCCTACAAAGAAGCTCAGAACAGGTTTTTGGTTAGCAGTCTTCCCCTACTACCACCCAAGATGTTTTAATAAAGAATTTAAAAGCTGTTTTGTAACAAAGGATATTTTTGGCAGAGAGCCTTACTGACCTGTGGTGCTAACAAAATATTACCCAGTTGTAGAAAATAGCACAAAGTTCCGCTTCATTTTTAAGCACTGTACACTTGGTATAAATTGCTAGCTTATTAAATCTAATGCTCAGAATGGAACAACTCTGATTCTTTTTTCAGCCTTAATCAGAGACTTGGACAAAAACTGAACCTATTTCTAATCAACATCTTGCTTTGATTTGGCAAAATATGGATCACATCTCTTTGGATGCCTTTCATAAAAGAGGCGTGCCCCAGTCATCTCCCTGCAAATCCAAGAACAGACTTAGAGTGCTGCTGACAATCAGATCCAATTGCAACACATGACTTGCCACAGAGTGGTTATTACATTTGCTACGTATCTGAGATATAATTCACAGCACACGTGACTGAGAGCAATTTGTTACGTAAGTCAAATTCCAGTTCCTTTACTAACTTTAAACAGGACTTTGCTTTGAAAGTAATCACTGTGATCTCAATACCACTAAATGGAAAATACTTAACAGGAGCCAGAATGACTCAGATATATTCTGTACTACAGCTACAAACTTTTCTTCACTTATATTTCTAAATAGGTTGTACACACAACAGGACCTAGCTTATATAAACGGATGAAAAAAAAAACACAGATCCAGATCTCCTAGTCATGATACATTATTTGCGTGACACTTACATTTACTTAACCACTAGAACATCAACTGCACAGTATCTTAACGGTCCCTCCATCATGGTCTCTTCCAACCTTGGTGATTTTATACTTCTATGATAACCTTGCTACATAATGCAACTCAATTGTGGCTTCTGATACCTTTATTTGAGACAGATGTTTTCACCGTAATTTCATTCGGGAGTTTCACTGACTACACAGGTTATGAATAACAGAAGGCCATGAGATAATTCAGTCACTTCTTCCTCAAGGACAAACCAGTAACACAATCGGAAGAGACACACATTTCAGGCAAAGATCACTCTTAAAAAACAAGCACAGTCACTACATATACGCTTTACGTCCTTGAAGAGTCAACTAGCTTGAAATTCTGATAGAAAACAGCATACAGAAACACTAAACACAGCTGCCTATCTTCCAAACATACATTAATGCAACTGCTGTGAAGCTGGTATCCATAAGTTGTGGGTTATGCTCTGTTTACAAGATGCTATCTGAGTAGAGGAACATTTGTAACATTCAATGTGACCAAACAGAAGGGGAAAACAGATTTGTATAATGCCTTTAGCTTATACATCTCCAGATCTGAAGAGAAATATATCCAAACAAAGTACTCTACAGTACCAGTATAAATCTTCGTGATTTTTTTTTCCCCCCTGTGGAAACTGTTAAACTCACCCAGTCTGCAACTAAAACATGAAATTACAATATCTAGTGTGATTTCATTGCCTCCATCTTGATATTTCTCTTTGTGGCTTCTGTGTGGTACGTTAGTATTCGTTATTTAACAAAAAATGGCAAACCCTTTGAGACAGAGTTTACGCTTGTTTTATGCTTGCCTCCAAACTGCTTACATTATCATGCATATCCAATTACTTACCTCAAGAAATTAAAAATAAAAGCTGGAACTATTAGCATAACAAACAGCTACAGTAAGCTTTGCACTTTTTTTTGTTTCCTTACAAAGCCACAGAAACTGTTTGTCCTTTTATAGTTTTGTCCTAGAACAATGCTACAGACTGCAGTGCACTAACAACTGATTTACACTGGCATACAACAGTAATAACTATTTGTTCCAGGGCTCTCACGACTTGTGCTAGAATACTTAAAAATCTTTAACTGTGATTTCTGGATAACTTTATTTTCACATAAATATCATCATAATATTTTATCATCTGGCTTAGGTAACACTGAAGAAATCATTAGAGAATTTGCAAACTGATCCAAAGTCTAGCATTTCAGTTGCATATTAATGTGATGCTCACACATTTTGAGGAAATGCAGCAGGTATGCAGCAGTCACACCACACTGTGATATTTCAGTTCACATAGATTTCAATTCATACAGACACTGCATCCATTTATTTATTTATTTTTAGCATTCCTTATCACTCAAGCAAGTACTTACAGGGTCAGAAGGACCACAAAAGTCTCTGAACACTTTTGGAGGCTCAGGCTGTATAATCTCCATTGCTATGCAAGGGCCTGAACACAACTCCGTAACCATCTCCTGGAAAAGAAAAAAGACCAAAACAAATCTGAGCTTTGAGCACTATGGTGGGTTGCATTCCCCAAAAAAACTTGATCCAAACATACCAGATAGGAAAGGAAAAAAGAAATACTGGTGTATTTAGGAAAGCAAAGACGTGAAGCAAAGATATCATTAGTATTCATTAATATATATATATGTTTTACATTTTGTAACTTAATTTACACGGTGGAGATAGAGATCAATTGAATATTCTATCTCTGGGATACTGAGCAACATGCAACAGTACCCACAATACCTTAAATTTTTTTACATGTACATTCTTACTAATCTTGACTTGGGTTTCAAAGAACTGACTCATAACTTGTCAGTCTAAACTGAATCAATGCAACGCTTCGCTAGGCATAAGTCTGAAAAATGACACCATGTTGAGCAAGTTCCACAGACATCATGTTTAACAACATTTCCTATAGGAAGCACAGGACACAGCCTATATTTGATGGCTTAAAGTCAAGAAAACATCTTTTGGGCTTTTCGTTCTGTCATTTCTTAGTGTATTATGGAAGCTGAAACACACAGGACAATAGAACCAGGAATTTAAATTGAAAGGAGTGCATGGCACATCATATCAGAAAAAAGATCCTTGATTTGGCAATATTTTCTGTGTGTGCTGTTGCCAGAATCTCAGTTACACTGAAGTAAGTCTTTTTGCTGGAGCCTCCTGAAGTGTAAAGAGATATCCTCGAGTCCTCAGTAGGTGATAAACACAATTTTTGATTTTGGAAGCTTAAGCTATCTCCAGGCATTAGTATCAATTTAGAGTTTGTCAATTAGAGGCATAGATTTCAGAAGCAGAAACATGCTACTTTGATGCTGTAGTCTAAATTCATTTAAAACAAAAAAAAAACCAACAAAACAAAACAAAACAAAAAACATGCCTTTATAATTGCATTCTGCATAAATGCAGAAATTTGGGCAGGCAAGTTTTGAACAAATAAGGGCAACTAAAAGTTCAGCGAGGAAAGAAAAGAAGAAAAGATTCACAAGAAATCAGAGAGAATAGGGAATAATGCACAAGGTGCTACAATCAAGCTCACCAGCTCTGCACAGGCCAAGGATGAGCTACAGCAGAGAACAAGAGCATCGAGAGCAGGCAAAAAGCAGTAGGAAAACAATGAAGTCCACTTCTGCGTTTTATGAAGTATGATGGAAATGAAATACTCAAAAGACTCCAAGTCGAGCAACACTGTTCCAAAGAATTGCTATCTTTGTAATAAATATCATGTTAAGAGCACATGCTTCATCTTAGCACTGTGAAGTGAACAGGACAGAATTTTAGCCAAGTGCCTCTATCATTAACCTGCTCCTAGCAAATGTAGGTAGAAATATTCTTGAGAGCATGAGAGTAGAGTACAGGGTAGTTTCATGCTTTACAACAAAATAATAAGTATTTCCCTTCCAAGAACGGCCTAATCACCTTTCTCTCTTTGGTAGGACTTGTAATTACAGTTAAATTCATTTTTCTTTAGCAAATGATTTATTCATCAGATAACATGGCTAGTGGTCAACCAAGACCATTCTTGGAACTGGATGAAGTTCAAGCACTTTTGATTAATAAGATGGATTTGGAGCTAGTACAAAATAATCTTCCTCCTTTTTCCCATTTCATAGTCTTGCTATAGCAGAAAACAAAATAAAACAGCACAAAAACTAATCACAGTATGCAAAATCCTAGGACCTATTGATTAGAGGAGATATCAACAAACCTATTTTTTTTTTCTATTTAGCAACTGTTCAGCATTTTTATTGTTTTGATACATGTTTTATGTACAGAACATCAAGCCTTTATCTGACTGTAAAGATGTAACCAGAAGAAATGGGAGTATGTTTTCTGAAGAAGACTTGTGGGTAAAACTATCTTCCACTTCTGCACTGAGTTATTTTAAAATGAAAAATAAAATTCAGATCAAAACAGACGGTTCTGAGTCACAGATATAAGAGGTCATGTTCTTTCTTCAGTTCCTTATTTCAAAATGTACTTCTTCCTATTTGGCCTGCACTTGACAATATCGACTGCTGTTCCCATATGCGCCTTCTCTGGATGTCTTTACCACCACGATCAGCTTTCCCACATTATCCTGTTTCACAAATAGGCTGAGTGCATGAAGATATCCCATTAATTTCAACTAAGTGCGTCAAGCACATATGGCTTTCAGGACAGAGCCCCAGATTCTCACTTGAAATCCCATCTGAAACAGATTTCTTTATTCACTTATCCATTTTAAATGTCACCTTCCCTTCTGAGTAACTTTTCAGCCAATGTATATAACTTTACCACTTATCTGAGGGCCAGAGCATATACCAAACAGCAGAAAATGATAGAGACTAACAAATTTGGCTCAATTTGTATTTTTATAATACCAGAGGATTCTCTGGGTCTTGAAATACCAGTCAGGCACTACCATATTTGAGTTCTGTAACTCACCTCCAAGTCTGTCTGTCCAGTCTTATATGGGTTCCTGGCACAAAGGATGTTAGTAGAGGAAATTTTGGAAGTATTCATCAATCTGACAGTGAACAGTGTCCCTAAACTATTTTAAGAGGAATTTCTAAACCCTGTTGAAGTTGATTAAACAATCATAAAGGAAAGAAAAAGTCACACTGTCAGAGTACTATTAGTAATTGTCTGGAATGATATAAGTAACTGAGTAGAAATCTTTTAATAACTTAACCATTTATAAATTAAGGGTAATTTGCATGGTACATAGCACGGCAGTGAAAAGAAAATCATTACTATTTGTAAAATGAATAAAGGTTATATAAAAACACAAAGTCGTCTTCCTGATTCCCGTTGTTCTATCTGCCATTAGGAAGTTTTATATTGCAATACAACAAACCATAGTAATATATGTGATCTTAGATGCCCTCTAGGATTACACTATTTCTTAAATTTTCTGAAGGTCCACAGAAGTCATATCAATAAACTGAAGAACAGCTCAGAATATCACTAGGAAAACATTCCAGCAGAACAGCCCCATTGTAAACAAAACAAAATGTACTTATTCTAGTACAAGCTACTAATGCAATATCAAAATGACCAAAGATATATATGCTATATATATATGTATATATATAAATAAAATGTGTGTGTGTGTGTGTGATACATAGTTCTACCACAATAAAATAATTTACCTGAGGGCTTTTTTCCCTATGTTGTATTTTACAAATGTCTAGGCTCAACAACTCCCACAAAGGATGCTCCTTTCTTACAAGATAGGCAGCATAATTTTGGATATGACATACCTTTATTTCAGAACAAGGTACAATTGGACAAAACCAAGTTCTTAGAGGAAGTATTATCACAGTCTCAAGATGGGCAGATGTGACCACTTCCTTGTTTAATCATGTTTTATTTATAAATAGAGACTTTTCAAATTTATGCTTACCATATATTCAGCAACAACACCTTTGTAAATCTCATAAAATTCTTCCACATTTGCACGCTCCATGTTGCACTACGAAAATAAAAAATGTTAGTCATTTGCATTAAAAAAAAAAAGATACCCCTTCTTAGCCAGTAAGAATTCAGAATGCTATTTTAAGTTCCGCCCAGTAAAAGGAATGGCTTTACAACTGTAATATGTTTATCATCCTTTCAGCCAATGGTCCCACATGCAAAAGAGCATAGAGTACCTTCTTCTACCTTAAGCATCAGTAGACAATGTACTTCATTTGTAGAGCTGGCTAATGCCACTGAAATATACAAGAGGATCTGTTTGTTGCATAGGAAAGAGAAGGAACTATTCTTCATTTCTGGAGGGTATTTGAGTCACAAGGAGATTTCAGATCTTAAGACTTTCAGAAAACACAAAAGGCAGTTCTTATAGGGCTACTCTCAGGAACAATCTCTGTCCAATTCCCTTTAAACTCTGCTGGTCATGAGGATGTCAATCCCTGAAGTATCTTCAAAAACTCTCCTATAAATTCACACTAATTATAAGTTTAAAGACTTGGAGGACGTTAACAATCTTTTTCCTAATCCTAACTAGTTCAATTTTCAAAAGATATCTTCAGTGTTCCAGAAAACATCAGTATCATTACGCCCCTTCTAGCCATGTGAAACTGAAACACAGAGAGATAAAGTCTCTTCACTCATGGTCAAACAGCAAGGGGAAACAGATCAGCTGATCAATCAAACAAGAAAATATAACTACAACAAAGGCTGTGCTGATCCCAAAATATAACTACACAGACTGCACAAGGGTTTTGTATTTCAGGAAGACACCTCTGCATTGCTGTTGAGTGCATATAGCACAGCTTCTGTTTATCAAAAAGATAAAGACAAAAGAAAACCTACCATCTGCAAAGCTGAGATCTGAAATCCTTCATTGATGATGGCTTTTATAATCTTTCCAGCTAGTCCTGAAAAAACATACAAAGTACAGAACTCAAACAAAAGAATTTAGAATTCCAAAGTATTTATGCTGCCATAACACTTAAACAAAAGCCAGTGTCCGTGTAAAGCTGTGAAAAGAAGCAGGGGGCAAAGCTCCCTATCTAAATACTCTAAATTTACATTTATGAATTTATAATATTTTTATTCTCTATCTAAAATGATGCAGTGATGATTTTGAACAACAAAATTCCATTCAACTGCTGAAAAATTAATTAGGTTCTAGCCAAAGAGGTCGCTAGTGAAGTCTTTGCTTTTCTGAGATACCCAGTAACTTCAAAATCAAGATTTATATTTGTAGTGAAATTCCAGTACCAATATTTGTAGCTTAAACAGTAATCAATTCAGGGCACAGGCTACCTATTTTGCACTGTTACACGGTGTTCACCAGAGCTGGATCCAACTTTAAACTAGAAACAATGCAGGACGATAATAAATATCAGCACAGAAGTTCATGTCACTATGTGAAAAGCACATTAGTGAAAAATAGCTTCCAAGGTTCTAACTCACAAACGTGTTACTGCTAATCATACTATCCTATGCTATGAATGTATGCTCAAAGACTGAATGACATTGAAAAGAAACAAAATATTAATGTAATAAAATATTAATATAGGAGAGCAAGAACCACTGATTTTCCACTGAATGCACATTTCAGATTGCCTGCACTTACACTAATCATGCCATCTGAAAGACTGTGGCTGCTAAGCACAATACTCTATTATTTGAGAATTGTAGAGCATCCATGCTTTTATAGAACAAAACTGTCTGCCCTCTAGTACAAACTGTGAGCAACTACAAATTTCTGGACATTGATTCAGAACAGAATATTCTGTAATGAATTACAACAGCAAGATTTGACTCTTAGTCATTGAATCCTTTTATTAACTTGTCTTTAAGCTGAAAGTTTTCTTTTGTTTTTTTGTTTGTTTGTTTGTTTTTAATAACACTGTGTAAATTCAGTAAATGAAAATAAAATAAAACTGACATCTAAGCCCTAGCACACTGAAGACCTGCCTTGTACACTGTCTGCTAATACCTGTAGCACACGATTGTAAGCTTCCTACACATTAAAAGGTCAGAAAAGTTCTGAGTAAATAAAATAGATATCTGGAAAGAATCATAGAATGGTCTGGGTTGAAAAGGACCACAATGATCATCCAGTTTCAACCCCCTGCTATGTGCAGGGTCACCAACCAGCAGACCAGGCTGCCCAGAGCCACATCCAGCCTGGCCTTGAATGCCTCCAGGGATGGGGCATCCACAGCCTCCTTGGGCAACCTGTTCCAGTGTGTCACCACCTGTGTGTGAAAAACTTCCTCCTAATATCTAACCTAAACCTCCCCTGTCTCATTTTAAGACCATTCCCCCTCGATAAACAGTCTTTCCCCTCCTGTTCATAAGCTCCCTTCAAGTACTGGAAGGCCACAATGAGGTCTCCCCAGAGCCTTCTCTTTTCCAAGCTAAACAAGTCCAGTTCTCTCAACCTTTCCTCATAGGAGAGGTGCTTCAGGCCTCTGATCATCTTAGCTTTTTAAAAAAGTACGTTTAGAAATGAAAAGGAAAAGACTTATACCTGAAGTATTCACCACAGCATTTTTTAAATCAAGGCTCATGTAAAACCACTTTTCCCCTATAAAATGGCACATATTTTTTTCAAAAAAATTTCTAAACTGCTAAAGGGAGAGTTTGAGATCTGGGTATGTATTCAGTGCATGCAGCTCTTGGGGCTTACAGAACAAGTGGAGGTGAGTGCAATTCCTGCAGCCAAAATATACTGTTACGTCATACTCACTTGCACTGATAAAGTTTCCTTTTAACTCTCATGTAAAGCTAGAAAAATATTTTTTCCCTGTTTTTCAATGGAAGTTTTTAAAAAATTGCAGCAGCAAAATGAAGAGACTCTAAGAAATTTACACAGGAAGTACAAGACTAAATGAAAAAGGAAAAAAAGACCTCTAGTTTCTTTTTGTCCTCTCTGTAGGAAAGGTTGACCAAGCCAGTGCATCTACACGAAGGTCTCGGGGAAGCAGCAAGCCTATAACTGTGACTTAAGAGATGGCCAGCCTGGGAATCCTCCAGGAAATAAAGATATAAATAAGTAATCTGCAGCAGAGCATGGATTTCCTCATTCTCAGTCTTCAAATGCAATATTCCAGTTAACAGCCACTGGTTTACGAGAAATCAAAGACGGAAGAAGGGACAGTGCCAGGCAAAGGGCAGTCAAGGTTACGTTGATATGAGAAAGCTGCTTGGCCCAACAGCTGCCCTTCTCCATTTTACACTATCAGTAAAGAACAGCCCACTTGCACAGGCCTTCACAACTGGCAAGAACTCTAAAATACTCATCAAGTATCAGGTTCTGAGGTACTAGGGAGATCTGCTTTTTATAGAACTTTTATCCTCAGCAATTTTACACACTGTAAGCAAAATTCTTCTTTTAGACTTAAATATTCAGCTTTCTGGGCTGCTTCTCCACTGAAGTATTAAGATTTTTCTTCTCTGTAGAGATGGGACAGGCTCCTTTAGTGACAGAAGTCAAATAAAGTAAGAACATTATTCGCAAAATGGTCTTTAATACAAGACTGGTTTAATATTTAACTGTGATAAACCTATCAAGATTGTCCAGTATCTTTATTTCTGACTTCACTCTCACTCAAAGACACAGAGTGCCAGAACTGCTTAGGACTGCAGCACTAAAAAGGCTTAACCACAAAAATCATTGTGACCATTGTTCATAGACAGATGTCTCTCTCTCTCTCTCTAAATATATATAAAGGGGGAATGGTTTTTATATATTACCTATATTATAATATATATTATAAAGATTATAATATATATACACATATATAAAGTATTATAATTATATTGTTATTATATATTTATATAATTATATAATATATACTTATTTATAATATTTATATGTAATTTTTTTGTTTATCTATCTATATATTTACAAGGGTGAATGGTTTTAAACTGAGACAGGGGAGGTTTAGGTTAGATATTAGGAGGAAGTTTTTCACACAGAAGGAGGTGGCACACTGGAACGGGTTGCCCAAGGAGGTTGTGGATGCTCCATCCCTGGAGGCATCCAAGACCAGACTGGATGTGGCTCTGGGCAACTTGGTCTAGTGGTTGGAGACCCTGCACATAGCAGGGGGGTTGAAACTAGATGACCACTTCAGTCCTTTTCAACCCAGGCCATTCTATGATTCTATATGAATATATATATATATCGTATAATCTCTTTAAGAGAGTCATGAGATTTCATTTATGTTTGCAAAACAAGATGTTAGCTCCACTTCCCAAAGGCAGGAGTCAAGGCACAGGAGGATACATGAGCTGTGAGCCTCCACTTGGCCTCCACTGTCCCATTTTAGGCAACACATGCATCACTTCTCCCAGAGATACCTTCTTTTTCAATTCTACTCCCCAAATAGAAACAAAAAAAAACAAAGGCAATCCTGAAGCAGATGAAAAATACAAGCTTAAGGTTCAGCCTGAGATGTTTCTGGCTTTCAGCCAATTACATGACTGAATTGGGACGTATGCTCTCCTTTGTGGACAGATAAGGCCAAGGGAAAGAAGAACTAATTAGACAAAGTGTCATTTCAGCAGCTTTTCACAATGTGTTTTCAACTTTAAAATCCACATCTGTCATGGAAAAACAACTTTTTCAACTTTTTAAGGACCCTTTAAATGGGGCCAGTGCATGTTTAAAATACGATTACAGTAAGAACCCAAATCAAAGCTGCAGATTAGGCACTAATTATGATGAATTTTTAATCACAACACACAAAAGAATCACAAGTATTACTAAATACAACTAGGGAATTTAATACTAATCCTAACAAATGACAGAAAGAGAGAGATAAGTCTCCTAGAAAACATTGTTACTATGCAAATTACACTGGACAAATAATCTTCCAACACAGTTTAATCAGATGAAATGATAAGGTCTCATCAGTGACACTTTTCTTCAACAATTTGTTTCTCTGCAACACAATATTTGAAAATTGTACTCCACTAAGGAGCAGAAAATAGCAGGGAAGACATCAGACTGAAAAATGCTACAACTTTTTTGCAGAATTATGGGTAGGAATAAAATAAAAATCAAACAGTTCACAAAAGTCACTTCTAACCTAACAGCACTTTAATTAATGGGATGTAGCAGCTGTGTTCCTGGGATCTGCCAGTCCCAGGCACTACCAACCACCAGCCCTATGACTAAGGACGTTACATTCTCTTCCCTTTGTTCTTGGCCCATTTCCCAATGTAACCACTCCACTGTTAAAAGCTTATTAAGGAAGACAGTCCGCCTTCAAAGCAAGTCAGGCATCTCAGTCTCTATACTTCATTTACTTATTACCCTTCCAATAATTAAAAATAATTCCTCAGGAACAACAAAAGGTTTTTCACAGGAATACATAAACTGCCATCAGCAATGATATCAATGATCTACCTAATCCAATAACGTGTTTCCAGAGGCAACCAATACAATACACTTAAATTAGCACCAAGTAGACACAAAATGAGTAGCTGGTTTTTTGACATTTTGAAATGCATTTCTGCTTCACATTATAATGAAAAGAAAAAGGTTATCTTATTCTTTGCTGCCAAGGTTTAAGGTTCTGTCCCAGAGGATCATCAGGCTTGGCTCCAAACAGAGTCTTTTTTCTTTTTTTTCATTTCAAAAGAAGAAAAAGGGGGACTCAGAGCTGGGCCTTCTTGAAATGTATTTCAGCTGTTGGTCAACAATGCTCCAAAGAACAAAGTTTACTGGTCCCTCTCTTTTTCTTTTCTACTGAAAAATTATGCAACTCTGAGCATTCTTATTAAGCAATGTGGACGCATAATTTCTAAATACCCCAAAGCTACAGTCACAGTGATAACCTGCAGCTACTGATCTTCCAGCCTCACTGCGTGCTGTATGAAAAAGGATTTCCAGATGTTTTTTATTTGTTTTATT